GAGGCGGGCTGGGGCTCTGCATCATGCTGCCTTGCCCCAGGAGCTCAGCTGTGTGATGCCATTGCCGCCCACCGGGGAGACAGGGGACATGGGGCGCATTGGCCGCGTGGTGCGCCCCTGCCTGCCTGGCTGCAGGAGGCACACTGGGGTCAAGCAGCTGAGCTCCCAGGGAAAAGGCAGGACACAGATCCCCAGCTGGCAGCGGGCAACCTTTCTGCCCTGTGCGGGACACGTGCCCCCATGCATCCCCTGGGGATGCATGCAGCTGCGGGCAGCCATGCCCCTCCCCCTGTGCCTCTGGATGACCTGCCCTGGCCCCAGGGCCCCATTCACCCCTGCCCCTGCTGCTGACTTACTCCCTTCCTCGCCAGGGGGGCCTTGATCTCCCCCCGCCCCTTTCCCTCCACTTACCAGCTGGGTGCTGTCTGTCAGTGTCTCTGTGTGTCTGCTCCTCACTCCCAAGCCACAGCCCCCCCCAGCCCAGCTGCTGCCCCTCACTCCTGACCCACAGTACCCCGCATCCTACCAGGGTGTTTGGGGACCCTCCCTCCTGAGGCTTCAGACCCCACACACTCACCCACAGCCCAGGTAACACCCCCTCCCACACACACACACGCCTCAAAAATAGCATGTCATGATTTACATGCCAATATCTTGATTTGTTTAAGAGTTTGTCTCATGATTTTCGGCATGGTGGGGTTGGCAATACTGGATATGGTGTATATCTCTTCAGAGATATTAATACAGTGGATTGAATTGAAGCGCCTGTGCCTTAGATAAGTGTTGGGGGGGCACTCTGTAGAGCAGCACGGTTCATTCTCTGGGACAGAAATTAGCTCCTTTGGTTTAGAAGCCTCTTAGTTCTCTTCACCTTCTTCCTACCACCATCAGCCCCATACACATTCATGGACTCTGGCACAGTGGCACCAGTTGTAGAGACACTAAGGTGTCTTGCATTCCTGGCCAAGGGAAACTGCAGCAGCAGGTGAAAGGAAAAAACCACCAGTTTGGCTTTCTCTCTTGCCAAGATATTTTTACAAGAGTCCTAACAGCGCATCTTGGAACTGCTGCAAAAGTAAGTAATGAATCTGCTTTCCAAGAGCCGCAGCCTGCAAGAAGCTTAACCTGTGCTGGGAAGTGCTGGGTGATCTCATCCTCGAGAAGTGAGGGGAGCTGAATGCATTCAGCATATGACAAAATCAGGCCCTTCCAGGAGGGCTTAGGTTTTAGGCTGCACACGCAAAAATGTGCTTGAGTTTCTGTATGTCTCCACATGTGCATTAAGTGGTTGCATTAGCCTTTGTGTCAGTAGCCTATGATTGGGGTACAACTCAGACACACTCACAGGTCCCAGCACACTTTGTAAAACAGGCCTTTTCTTTGGAAGCAATGGATTAATGAATATTTCCGCTTGGTGGAGCTATGGTGTAAATTCCCCGCTGTTCAATGGCGTCTTTCAACCTTGCCTTTCTCCAGGTCGTCCCTGTGTTGACTGCCATGCATTCGAATTCATGCAGAGAGCTCTTCAGGACTTAAAGAAGACGGCGTATAATCTCGACAGCCGGGTAGGTGTTATCTTAGAAGCTGTTCCCAGCCTTAATTGCCAAATAACCTTGTCTGCCTGTTTGTCTGTGTAAAGCTGCATCTTTTGCTGATTCACGGTCAGATCAACAAATGGGATTTCACCATGCAAATGTATTGGGTGCAAGATGAGATTCATAGATGCTCTGAGTGGGGAGGACCAGAAAGGAGCATTCTGATCACTGAGTCTGATTTCCTGAGTAACTCAGGCCATAGCATTTTCCTTACTGGCCCCTGTATCAAGGCTCAGTGATACAGGGGCCAGCAAGGGAAAAAGAAGTTGTAGTTTTCATATCACAACGCTGCTACTCAGCACCCATGCTAATTAGCCTTCCTGTAGTGCCATACAGATGCAGCTACACTCCTTCCATCTTAGGAAGTAGCCTGCATGAAGCAGTACAGTGAACTTGATGACATTGCTGTTGGGGAGAGTGAGTTTCAAATATACACGCTTAGGCCATGCTTACATAGTAGAACAGGGATGGACAAAATACGGTCTGCAGGCCAGATCTGGCCTGCAGAGGGGTTTTGTCTGCCCACAGTGGGTCTGTTGGTCCTGCCGTGATGCATCCTGGTACTGTCCAGCCGTGATGCATCCTGCTGCCCTGTGCACACAGCAGGGCTGGGGCAGCTCCGCAATGGGACTGTCTTTGTAGGCAGCCCAGGCAGTGGCAGCTCCTTCCAGCTGCTGCCGCCACTGGCCCCAGCCCTGTGGTACCGCTAGAGAAACATGCCACAGCCCTGACCTGGCACACCCCGTGCCTGCTTTGGACTCGCCCACCCAGGTGGAGCAGCGGTGGCTGGGCAAAAACTGTTGCTTGGCACAGGGGAAAAGTGGCTTCTACCCCTCGCTGCTGCCAGTGCTTCTTGGCGCAGCTGGCGGAGCCCAGGCCCTGCTGGGCTGCCCTGCATCTTTGGTGCCATCTGGTCTGCCCAGCAAGGTAGCAATGACAGTGCAGAGCAGCTGCTGGGCAGCTTAGAGGCAGCAGGGTGATGGGGTTGGAGACGCAGGGCAGCCCAGCGGGGCTTGGGCTCTGCCGGCTGCACCAGGAAGCACCAGCAACAGCGAGGGGGAGAGGTAGCTTTTCCTGTGTGCTGAGCAACAGTTTCTGCCTGGCTGCCACCACTGCTGCTCAGCCTGGGTGGGTGAGTCCAGAGCAGGCACGGGGCATGCTGGATCGGGGCTGTGGCGTGGGTCCCTACTAGTACCATGGGGCTGAGGCCAGCGGTGTCGGGAGCTGGATGGAGTTGCTGCCGCCTGGGCTGGATGGAAAGGCAGTCCCACTGCAGAGCCACCCCAGCCCTACTGCATGCCCAGGTTGGCAGGATGCGCCACGGCCAGATGGTGTGGGGCGCATTGGGGCTGTGTGCTGTTGGCAGTGGTGAGGAGGTGCTGTAGGGCGTGTGGGCCCTGGGCTGTTGTGGGGTGGGGAAGGGTGCTGACCAGCTCAGGGGGTTGCAGGCAGGGGCTTCCCATGCATACCCCACCATACCCTCAAAATCTTCCCCACAAATCCCACAAGCACACCCTCTCCTACACACAGTCATACACCCCATAAACACTGCACCCACCTATGTGCCTCTGGGGGAAGCTCCGCTCACTGCTACATGCACACACGCACCACATACATGCGCACACACACACACACTCCCAGCTACCCTCTCCCTCCACACACCCCACAGTCCCCCACAAACCCCTTACCCACCTGCCCACCCACACCTCCCCCCCCAATATACAAGAGTAAGACTTCATTTTGAGCTATTATGCAATCAGCTTTGTATATACAACACAAACGCACACAAATCAGGACAACAGTTTTTAAAAATAAAATTAAAATATGTTCTTGGGAATATTTGATTTTTAGTGTATAATTTGTTTTGGTTTTTTTGGTTCCAAGAGGGCAAGCCCCCTTCCCAAAAGGAGTACTTCTGGGGGCAAGGGGAGTGACTTCGGGTGGCAAAGGTCAGGGTTTCGGGGACTGGACTTCCGGTCCCAAGATGGTGACCAGTGGGTGGGGCACCTGTCAGGGGGCGGGGCTACCCTTTGTGGCCCTTGACAGCTCACCAAAACTCACTAAGCAGCCCTCCACCCAAAATAATTGCTCACCCCTGTGGTAGAAGTTTGTACCAGGTTGACTAGATCTCTTAAACTGACCTATCTGAACTGGTGTAGACTTTCTAATGTGGACCAGAATTGGTGCTCGCTTAGAAAGGCAATTTTGAGGTAGAAAATAATGAGAGAAATGCCCCTCATGCATGATTTCATGTCTTGGATGGCATGAGGCCCAAACATACAGTATTTTGATTCTGTTTTTGAGAGTTGCACATAGAAAGCCTATTCAAATAATAATAAAAACACAAAGCCTAAAATCAAGGGGTTGGTTTAATTTGGGTATGTAAAATTAGTGCATGATCAAAATCCCTTTGGTAACAGCAGATATGGCAGTGAATAGACAAGCTGACCTGGATGGAATTCATAAATTTAAAATGACCAACACTTGGTACATGGTGCCTGAAGGGGAGAATATCTTCCATTTATAATGCAAGACCCTCTTCTTTGCAGACCCTCACATTTTGTCTCCTTCTCCCTGAGCTCAGTAATCACCAGCAAGTGCACTGAACAAGTGAAACCACCTATCTGTGTCACTCTGCCTTCAGATAGCTGCTCACTGCCTTACTATTGATGACATTCCTGCTGCCAATAGAGAGGTTATAGCCACTTGCCTCTGTAAAGTCATGTTAAATTGTCATTCACGGCTGATTACTCTGGAAAGGTATAAATCATTTGGGTGTATCAAACCACAGCAGGTTTGCTGCTTTGCTCAGACACTTGTTCTCCATGAACTTGGATGCTTACAGAGGGTCCAGTACTGTGAGGTGCTGAGGGCTTCTTGGGAAGTCTGGATCACCTTCAGGTCATGATGGCTTTCAGGAGGAAAGTGATCCTGCCTGGCTTCTCCGTGCACCAAGGGTGAGATTTGCTTCCAGGTGGGCACTAACATAATAAGAGGCAAGCCCCTTACTTGCTGTCAGCCTTGCACCTCCCATCCTTTGACAAGTGCCTATTTGGTGTTGCAAGCCTGAGCAGTGGTGCTGTGATACTGGAGGTGACTCAGATCTCTCTGTCTGTGGCATCAAATGGGCACTTTTGCAGATGAACCAAAACAATATGGACTGGTAACGGTTAATGCTGTGACCTGTGCCAGGCTCAGTGAGCTACAGTGTAAATGTCCTCGTGCACCCACTGGTAGACATGGGTGCCTCAGTGCAGGTGTCTCATGCAGATGTGGGGTTTATTTTGGAGTAAGTTACTTTAGTATGATTCACAAGGACCAGGTGTTTTATTTTGACTTAAGCTGAAGAACTGCACACTGATGCTCCTGCCCTGAGTCAGCATTAGGGGTTTCTACTTAGTGTCTGTCTAAATAACAACCAACAAACCCTCTAAGAGTGTGAAGAAAAAAAAATCTCAGCAGGATGTCGATAGACACCTTGCTTATCAGGCATGAAGAAACTTTCAGCATTGGAGGGCTACTACTACTATGCAACTGGAAGTGCAGATAATGGTATTACTAGGGAGGAGAAAAAGGCTGCCAAAAATGAGATGCTTCCTGACTGCATTCCTGGGAGCCTTTCATCAGAGCCTTTATCAATAACTCAGGCTGGATCTAGAGCAGCCACTCTGAGGAAAGCAAATAAAAAAAACCACTAGTAGAAATCCTCCTCAGTAGGATGCCCCTACTAGTAGATCTGAATTGGGCTAGATGTGTTCGAGAGAAGCTGACAGATTTACATTTAGAGGATTTTACATATACATAAATTTATACATTTTCAGTGACTAATTATATATATATAATATAGATTAGTCATTGGAACAAACTGGTTAGAGAAGTACTGGACAATTCTCCTTCTCAGGTCTTCAAATTGAGATGTGCATGACTAATGCATGTCTTCTAAAAATGGCATCTCAAGTTACTGAGTACAGTGCAGGGCTAGTAGAGGGGCATTCTCAGGCCTCTTACACAGGGGGTCAGACCAGATGGTCTTTTCTGTATCTCAATAATCGATTACAGCCTGCTGAACCAATGCTCTTTCAGGGGAATTTCCTGAAACAGAAGCAGCAAAACAGCCTTGTACTTCTGTGTACATTTGGGTAGCCTTTGACACTGAAACTGGACCCTCCTGGAGCTACCTTGCCCATCCAGTCAAAATGTGGGAGTGGGATTGCTTTTGGGAGAGATGGAAATTCAAATGCAAACAGCAGGAGGGTGATGCTAAGGTTTTATGTTTTCTGCTAGACGTGCAAGAGCATTTTCTTGCCCAGACTGTATTCTACAGGGAGGCAGTGTTGCAGAGTACCATGAGAGAAACCGGGAAGGATGAACAAGCCTGTCTCTAGTGGGTTATGGAATAGAGAAAGATCCCACACAATTTTCTGATTCATTTGGTGTGCCTGGCTGGGGGAGTATTTGGTTGATTGCACGATTTCACAATGATTGCACACTTAATTTGTACAACACAATTTTATTTTAAAATTCCTTGCTACGCATATAACACTACTTAGCTTTAAGAAAAACCACAAACATTAAAAACACAATAACTACATATATTAGAAACAATGCTCCAAACGCACCCCCTTCCCAAACAATGCTATAAGAATTAGTATTACAAAAACAACTACAATTACAAGTAAAGGTTAAATTGGAATCACTACTATTATATCTTGTGGTATACTTACAATCCTAGAATTCATAGAAACCAGATCCCCAAGGATACTTTCATTCTTTAGTTATGGTTTTAGGGTTGGTCTCAGCAGTGATAGGAACAAGTCCCCTTCCTTCGGTCCCACTCGGGCGCTCTGCGGCTTCAGCGTGAACGGGAGCTCTTGTTCACGGAGAGGGTGGTTCAGGTGATCAGTCTGATCCAGCCTACACTTGCAATTCTTCCTTCAGTGTTCTCCAAGTGAGGTTACCTCCAAATTGGG